CGGCCGCCCCCCCCCCCCCCCCCCCCCCGGCAGGAAGTGGAAGCCCGGCCAGCCCGACAACTGGGGCCACGGCCACGAGAGCGGCGAGAACTGCGCCGGCCTCATCCACGATGGCCTCTGGAACGATTTCTTCTGTGAAGATCTCATAAGCTACATTTGCCAGAAGCCACAGATGGGCACGCGTACGGGCACCGATTCTTCTTGAAAAATGTTTTCATATAAATTAAAATGATTCTTGTTATTAAATAGACTCTCCGTGTTTCAGCAGGGATCTCGTAGCAGCAAAGGTGGGACAAGTTTGGGCGGCAGCTAGACCGGACATCGTGCAGGTTCTGGTCCACACACAAAGGGACACACGCATTTGGGATACGAGCGGCTTGAGTGCAATACAGCAGAAGCGCCAAAGGAAGGACAATCTTTTTTTTTTTTTTTTTTTTTTTTTTTTAATATCTTGCGTATTTTCTACAATTCTACCCAGTGTTTGATCTACATTTTAATGTGCAACTGAATATCTGAATGTATATTTCACTATGCAACTGTACCAATCGAGCAATTCCTTCAGTATGAAAAAAATATGTTTTCATTCATTGTTGAAAAATGATTTTTGACGCGATTAAAAGGTGAGAAACTAAATCTGCTATCTAAAGTTGGATCATTTTTTTGCAGGTTCGGTGCATCAAACTTTTATGGACCGTACTTACAACTGGATTTGGCAGTGATCATTTTCACGCAGGAACAGACTCAGACTTTTTTATGGAATGTGAGGATAGCAAACCCAAGTGCAGAAAAATAATACCTCCACCTCACATGCACATGTTGATAATTATATGCATGATGCTTTAAAAAATGAATTTATATTTTTAAAAAATTGGTAGCTTCCTTGTGAATTTTCATCCATTTAAATTGATAACTTGAAGTTTATTGTCAAAAATATATAAATTTTAAAAAGCACAAACTTATGATCTCTCCAGGAAAAAAAAACAACCTTTCCCCAAAAAATTACAAGGTTTTATTTATTGCAAAAATTCAGCTTTATTGTAAAATCTTTTAAATAACATCAACAATATCCGGCTATATTATTGTCAAAACACAATTATTTTTCGCAAAGTTAAAAAAAAAAATGCAACTTTACTGTCACATTTTCATAGGAGCAGTCATTTGGCTGACCTGAAGTTTGTCTTGGCGCGCCAAAATTTGTCCATAATTTGCCAGTTCATCGGATGGCAGTCGGTGCAGGTATGGCACGCCGAATGTTCCGGCTTGTGGACACACTGCAGCATGGTCAGGATGCTGCGGACAAATTTCCCTGAGTTTGGCTGGGAAGACTGGAGTCGGGCGAGCGTGTTGCTGGCTTACCGGTCGTGGTCAGAGCAGGTCCAGCGGAATCCTCTAGTCTGCAGGATGTGGATCAAGTCCGCGATGGAGCCCCCGTCACAGGATTCTCTGTGCATGGAAAGCCCCAAGAAGAGTCTTCAATCAGCTCCTCTCTTCGCTTCTCGGTACAGCAGTAAGATTAGCCATTCTTTGCACAGCATAGATAATATATGCCTGTGAGTATTGTCATCTACGTTTTCAAGGATCCGCTATTCCATTGTGTTTTGAAGTGGACACCTGTCATTGCTTCTCAGAAAAACAGAACTTATGAAATCATCTTGTCAATATTATTTGAATTTGCTCACATGAAGGGGCCATCCAGATTGGCCACCACTTTGATGTTGACGTAGTGGACCCGCTGCGGATTCAAACTGTCCAGCTCCACACTTCCGAACATGCTGTAAGACAGGCAAAAGAAAAACAACAACAAATCCAACTTGGAAATCAGGGGTGAGTCCCGTTCAACTTTGAAGAGAATCGAAAACAAAGACCCACCTGTTCCTGTTGAAGGCCTTCTCAATAGAGCCGTTGAGCAGCACAGTCACATTGCCGCACGCCATTTCCGCAAACTGACAAACAAATGCCAAAAGAAAAGCACAACAAAGATTCTCAGAAAAAAAACAATACAAGGCTTGATTTAAAAATATTCTCTGAAAAAAATCAGGAAGCAGTTCCCGCAATGTTCTGACATTTACAGCATTTTGCCCTACAAATCCTTTCAAGGAAAGAAAATTCTTGAAAAAAAAGACCTATTTGCATGAGACTCAGACATTTTTATGACGTTATTTTTGTGAAGTTACCTAATGTTTCCTCCAGCAATAGAAATTCACCAAAAAAATAAGACCTTTTTGTTGTAAAATTCTGACTTCATTCTCGTTTAATTACCAATCTTTGAAAAAACAAAGTGTTCTTTTCACAAAAATAGAACTTTTGGAAAAGTAAAAAAAAATTCGTGCTCTGAAAATTGTGAATGCTTGCTGATGCAAAACTCACATTTTTGGAAGCTTGCCTCCACAAGGAGTGGACGGGATGATGTACACACGCCGACCACTCGGGACATGATCCGAAATTGAAATCTGAAAAGATTGGCAGTGAGTCAACATGGCGCTGCGATTGGCGGCGTCGCAACAGCATGACAGGAAGTGGCGTACCGGAGTGTTCTTGTTGGCCGCACCAGATGAGGTCGTTAAACATGTAGCCCACCAGTGTGTCCTCCAGCGTCCACAAGTGATGCGCCACTGCAGCGTAGTCCTGAACCAACGTCCTCGTCTTGCTCCACAACAGGAACTAAAAAAAAACAACAACAACAATTGAAATGATTCAAATTTATTTCTCATATTCACAGGTGACAAAATATCTCAATGAAACTCCTCAACTCACTTTGACATACTGTAGTTTCTTGGCAGCAAGAGGCCAAAAAAATTGCAGCAAAGCACTACTTTTGTCAAAATGAAAGTGCTCAATTCACTTCCACATAGTTCCTTGATGCCAAGAGGCCACAAGGTGGTAAAGTACTACTTCTCAGTGAAACTCTTCAAACACACTTCAGTATATTTCCTCTTCAGCAACATGTAACGGGAAAAAAAATAACCAAGCCTATTTTGCCAAAAGTAAAGAAAAAATCCGGAAAGTGAATATTCAAGTCAAGCACACGTGCCTGACAAATGAGTTCTCACTGCCGGTTGTGTGAATGAGGAATTTTGTGGGTTACCCGGTCGCAGGCGCCCGTTTGCGGCATGGCTCGGAACATGTGGCGGTAGTGCTCGGCGGCCACGTCGCACGAGGCCTGCCGCAACACCGCTTCCTCGAACGCTCGCCAGATCTCCTCGCAGTCCGACCTGCGCGCGCAAACAAATTAGCGCCTTGTGATGGACAAGCAAACGATCACACAAATGCAAACTGCCACGCACATAATAACAAATAAAAAACACCAAATGGGAGTCGAGAGAAAAATGACTCCACGATTGGCAAATGTGCTGGAACAGGTGGAGGAGGTTTCAGTGCCAGTTACCTGATGTCGGGGTTGACGAGTGTGATGTAATTGAAGCACCTGCCCATCACAATGTGCTTGATGTTGGGCGTCGTGCCCGAACGGGCTCGCAGTGGGGCGGCGCACATGCAAAGTACCAGCACACCTGCTGACATCGAAAACTTGACAATTCGGAAACGGATTGTACCATTCATTCAAAACATTTATCAGGGCTAAAATGACTGCTCTTTTTCTCCCTTAACGCTACAACAATAATGACGTGAACGACAGGCACGACATTTGACTGTTTTACAATACTTCGTCCTTCAGTATGTGTTTACCAATAAAGAGATCAATCTGCCAAAATCCGACGATTTTTCGGAGGGGTGGGGTTGTATGTCATTATCTTATCTTAACGTTGTAACTTGTTCATAAATACATTTTTATCATTTCAGGCTACGATTCAAGGGATGTTTTTTTTTTCTTTAACGCTCATTCATGGTGATAAATGTGACATTTAGCAAAATATTCCGCAGAAAAACTGTTAAAATACCACTTGTTCGGATGTCGAAATAATATTTTAAAAAACACATCAGAAGAACTTACACGGTGCCACGCTGGTTCCGAAGTTGGTCGCCATGGTAACCTTCTGCTTTGCCCGGCGAGGGATCGCTTCAGACGGCGTTTTCAAACCACCAACCATCAAAGATGACCCGTTTCCCAAAGAAGCCAGCACACAACAAGTAAAGACACGCGAACAGCTGAGACTGCCTTATACTTTCGGTGCAGGCTAATTCGTTGAATAAAAGCACATGCTCCCCATGATCATGCCGTTTCTTGGTGATGCTCAAAGGCGTGCGCAGTCCCAAAGAGGGTCGTCCATTGCAGACACTTCCCAGAACGGCAAGGAGACGCGCGTTGGTGAACAGCACAAATTTTTCCTCCAAGGCGCCGCTCGTTGGGCGTCCGCGTGACTCCCATTATGGTGGCATGACCAATTTCCAAACACAACGACTGGGCTGTTTGTTTGAGAGGAGATATGTCAACTGGACGAGCAAGAGAAGGAATTACTTAATTACTGTCACTGTGCAAGGTGACCTTTCCTACTGTATGATGCAGAACATTCAAAAGAGAGAAAATAAAGTTATTTTGTGCAATCCACGCAAGCTGTGTTAGCACTGCTTTACATAAAGTGTATAAATCCAAATGGAGAACTTTCCGAAATACAGTACAGCGTTTCCTCTTCTCAACTGTGTTGCACAAATATAATTTAACATGGTCACAGCCAGCTGTTGCTGCCACCTTGTGGCTAGAAACAGCAACGAATGCGAAAACATCCATCCTGGACTCAGTGTGCCTCTATCCAATGAATTCGGAGAAAGGCAACCACGTGATAAACACCGACTAAGCCTAGCTTCGCTGACTGACTTGTCGAAACGCTTCGTGTGGACATTCATTCAACAACTGTAATTATTCCGCTGCTTTTAAAGTATTCAAGTGTCTGTTTCGACCCCATTTAACAATTTATCTGTCTGCTAGCTGTAGTAATGATTCATGCCCACGTTACAAACCGTCCAGTTGACAGTTTTCTAGCCAATGCAAGTGTTGTATGAACATATGATGCAAGCTGGTCATTTGTAGCTAAACGCGGAAGTTGTCAAGGTGTCCTAGCCAAACGACTTTTTTTTTATCTCACATTAAACGTTCAAATATGAACTTTGAACGACCTCCTTTTACTAGAGAAACTGGGGACGAGATGAACTGTCATGAACTTCATGAAAGACGGTCTTCTAAACACTCCAACATGCATTTCGCCGACGTTCCTTCCCTGCTCCCATTTGACATGGTCAACAATTGATTGTACGCATCCCCGCAGGCATCTTGTAAAATTGTAACCCGACAGGTTTGCCAGCTCATATCTGATATCTGATGCTTTCTTAACCGCCCTGCTTGTGCCACATTGTTCTCATCACACCGATGTTTACACAGTTGGCATTTTTGTCTTTCAGGAAGATTTGTGGCTGGACTTGTATCATTTACTGTGTCAGCAATGACTGACCCTTGGCAGGAGTGCATGGACCACTGTGTGGAGATAGCCAAACAGGCTGGCAAGGTTAATTTATTCATTGCGGGAATTTGCTTCATACAAATGGCATGGAAATCACCTTGTTTTGCATTGAAAATTGCTGCCAAACTGGCAAAACTTTGTGGATTGTATTATTGATTTATGTTAAATATTCAGTAAAGCATTTTGTTACCACCGCAGCTTGTGAAAGCGCAATATAAATAAAGATGTATTATATTGTATGATGGGATGGACACATGAAGTTTTTGACGTTTCTGCACATCTCTGTGATACTTTGCGTGTTGCTGTGGTGGTCCCCCACCAGGTGATCCGCGAGGCCCTCCAGGGCGACATCGCCGTCATGCACAAGAGCTCGCAAGTGGACCTCGTAACCGAGACGGACCAGAGAGTGGAACGCCTCATCATATCTTCCATCAAGGCAAAGTTTCCCACACACAGGTACGCGACTTCGATATCTCAACACAAGGGCGCAAACAAGACGTCCCACCCCCCAAAAAAAAATCCCTGACTGAGGAATGGCCCCCAAAATGTCGCTGATTGATATCGTTCGTGTTTGTCTTCCCGTTTTAAGCTTCATCGCCGAGGAGTCAGTGGCGGCGGGCGCCCCCAGCATTCTCACCGATGACCCCACTTGGATCATCGACCCGATCGACGGCACCACCAACTTTGTGCACGGGTGCGCCGCACATCCCTCTGGTTTTGCTTGCTCTAGTTTTGCCTTCAGGCTAATTGGACGACCTTAACCCAAAGGGAGTCCATGAGACGGGGGCCTTATGGCCGGTGATTTTCTGTTTTTTAGGTTCCCTTTTGTGTCTGTGTCAATCGGCTTCACAGTCAAGAAAGAGGTAGGCCGCACAGCTTGCGCGTGTCCTGTCAGTGACGCTCTCGAATGCCCCCATGTGCTTTGCTTGGCTCGTCTCACTAACACTTGCTTTCCTTTGTGATTTGGTTGTCGTCAGATCGAGTTCGGCGTGGTGTACAGTTGCATCGAGGACAAAATGTACACGGCACACAAGGGCAAAGGGGCCTTTTGCAATGGCCTTCCCATCAAGGTATCTGGACAGGAAGGTGAGGGAGGGCCAGCGTTTGCGCTTGTAGCCAGCAGGTGGAGCCCCCATCTCAGCAGCCAGCCTCACCTGCTCTCTCGTGCACTTTTGGGCAGATCTCAGCTGCTGCCTGGTGCTGACCGAGGTGGCCTTCAAAAAGGATCAGCAGCATTTGGACAGCATGATGGCCAACCTCAGGAGCGTCCTCACTATCCCTGTTCACGGGTAATTACCTCTGCCAGGGAGGTTTTATTTCATGGCCACTTGTGTGTTAGTAATAGGCATTGTGCAATCAGAAAAAAAACAAACACTGAAGCGGTTCATACTTTTAACTTTGGGGAGGGCTGAGGCAAGGGAAGAATGTGTGGCATTTTCAATCAGATCCACATTTGCTTGCCTTCCTTCACTCCCTTGCAGTGAACATCCCTGAGTTTTCACGCTCTGGATTTTTGGGAACAATCAGCGAAAAAAATAAACCCTCACTCAGAACCAGCCACAAGAGGGAGCAATATGTCTTTTCTTTATTGTCATTTCAAAATTGTTCCATACAATTATTTGTTGAATTTCAAAGGGGACAGTGTATATTAATGAACATTTACATGGAACTAGCCAAAGTTTAGCCATTGGCTAGCTTGCGTCTGAAGTCCCTCGGCAAGTTGGAACATTTGAAGTCAACTTATGTGCTCTTTATTGATCATCAACACAAGTACTCTCACATAATTTGGCAATCTTTGCAATGCCTCAAGGAAGTTAAAAAAAAAAAAACCCAAAGATTGATTTGAATATAAAACATGTATCGTTCGTTGCATGCAGGCACAACGTGGCACTAAACTGAAGGCCCGCAGCTCTGTGAGAGAAGTTGAAGATGTGCAATCAAGTGCGGATCCCCGTTAGATTCTTTGTTTGTCCTTCGTGGAAATCTGCAAAGTCGCATTTCAGACCTCGTGATTTGAATGTGTGCCATTTGTGCCCTCAGCATCCGCTCACCGGGCAGCGCCGCCATCAACATGTGTCTTGTGGCCAGTGGCGCGGCTGACGCTTACTACCACCTGGGCATCCACTGCTGGGACATGGCCGGGGGCACCGCCGTGCTCACCGAGGCCGGCGGCGTCATCGTGGACATTTCAGGTGAGCCGCCGAGCCGAGCAACCGCACCGGGGTCGCCACACTTTTGGCTTGTCGCCGTTTCCATCCAGAGTCGAGCGTGTCGTCACTTGATTCAAGGTGCAAGTTAGGGCAAGAGCTGGCAAAGTGGATTTCTCAAGACAAGGAAGTTGGAAGGTGGTGAAAGGTTTGAGCAATTCAGCCTTTCAGTAGTTGGTAACTTTTGCATCCTGCGTTGTTGCGCAACATTCTTCAACAAAGTCGGTGGTGGCAAAACTCGGGGAAATATGCACCTTTTTGCACTACGGGTGTCGATGTTGGTTAAACAAGGTGTAGTCATATTTCAAATTTTATGTTCTATCACTGACAACATGAAATGTTGGCTCATGATGTTTTAGCTGCTGCTGCAATCTCTTGCACCTTTAGAAAGGCAGTTTGTTTATGATATATGTTTTTGGTTGAAGAAAGTACAGAATACATTTTGAATGCATTCTACATACATGAAAATGCCATTTTGTTGAGAAAAAATGTGTTCTAATTAGTCTTATTGTAATGATTCTGAAATATAAAAAAAAGAAAATCAATAAATAGAAAATATGACTTTAAATGTTCTGGGAAAAAAAAGACCTACTTTTTGAAGGAAAAACTATTTTTAAGGACAATAAAATATGATTTTTGGGGGGGGGGGGATTTTTCAAAAATAAGCCTCTTTTCCCCCCCTCAAAATAAATAACTCTGTCCACTGGAGAAAACAGATGGGTTTTTTTCTTCCAAAAAATGTGACTTAAAGAAATACTTTTTCCCCTTTCCTTTAAAAAAAAAAAAAAAAAAGTGAACATTTGTCTGGAAAATATGTTTTGTGTGACATGCTTAAAAATATATATACACTTGTTCCCCCCCCCTTTCAGTATGACCCTTATTCCAAGTAGTTTTCCAAATGTAATGTTCTGTTTTTTTCCACATGAATCATATCATTAATCTTTCATGTGAACAAGGGTCAAAAGTTATTTTTTCAGTGGCTTGAATAGTCCCAGCCACAAAATTAGGCACACCCGCAGGATCTAATGAGCTGTGGCTGCCATTAGGAAGACGACAATGCTATCTCTTTTTTTTTTTTTCTTTTCTTCCCAACCTTCAGTATGTCCTCACTGAACATAGCTTGCTTCAAGGGCACCGTCACCGACATGCCTTGCAACCCATCGCGAGCCAGTCTTGTTCAAATTTGAAGTCAGGCATTGTCGGTGAACTTCAAAGAGGCGTCGGCGCGTGCCACTCGACCGCACCGAGGCCAAACGTGGGAGGAGATGAAGCGTCGAAACAAACGGCTGACACTGCGCTTCCTCTCGTCTTGTGTCGCCCAGGTGGGCCCTTTGATCTGATGTCCCGCCGGCTGATCGCGGCCAGCAGCGCAGCGGTGGCCGAGCGCCTTGCCAGCCACATCGTAGATTTCCACGTTGGTAGGGACGACGCACATGGCTCAGAAAAAAACTAAAGAAAAAAAAAAATAAGAGAGCGAGCTTAGTGGCACCTAAACAAGCTGAGAGTTTGTCTTGAGAGGTGAAACGCGGCGTTTACACCTGACGAGTAGTAATATTTGCATCGGAATTTTGAATCAGAACTTTAAATTTAAATGCAAATTTAAGTCAAGAATATGTTGAACAGATTTTCGGATTTGCAACATGTGTTGCAATGTTTTATCTTTGGTTTAAAATTCTCACTTCTGCACTCGGACAAACTTTTTTTTTTCTTCTACCTCTGCCCTGTGTGTATGTGAGGCCACTTTGGGTGCTGAGCTTTCACTGCTGATTGGTTGTTAGCCCTGCCCTGCGCTGTGTGTAACCACTCCAATGAGATGGTGCTGCAGAGAGAATCATGACAGCAGGCACGTGGCTGCATTGAAATAAAAATATATTGAAATGGATTTCTTATTGGCCATCGTATTTGAAAAAAAAAAAAAAAAGCCTGATGCCATTATGTGGGAAAATCCCCGTTATCGGCCCAGGCCAATAATTGATCTGTCCCGAAGTTATAGGGACGATGGAAAAGTGAAGGAAATGAGGGTCGTTGGAATTGATTATCCAATCGAAAATTCCACCAAATAATTGAAGCAGAGCGCTTTCCTGTGTGTGAGGAAAGCCGACTTCTCGCCGACTCACTGAGACGGAATGTAGCCAATCAAGACCTCCACCTGACTGAGGAACAAGGGAGCGGCGGTAAATAAAAGCAAACGTCCCTTCATGACACTGCCCATTATCTTCACTTGATAATGTGCCACGGTCTTTTTTTTTTTTCTTGTTTTGGGTTGGGGGGGGCTTAACACCCTCATTTCCTCCTCTTGTTTGATGCCTCAGTTTTCCCGTTTGTTGCTGTTTCTGGTTGGATGCTGGAGCGAAATCTTTTCGTGTGTGGTTTCCCATGTTGAAGTCATCGGAGCACACAATACAACCAAATCTGTTCAATGCTTGATTAGTTGATTTGATAAGAGTCTTTGAAGATTTCAAAACTTCATCTGTTTGTAGCAGGCCTTCGGCGTCCTTGAAGGGCAGGCTGCCCCGTGCATCCCAAATTTCGGATGATGATTTGCTTTTACCATGGTGAATAAATTCTGACATTTTTCTCCATGGACAAAAATATGTGGGCAGCTCTGCCTTGGAGCTCCAACAAACTTTCTTCACTTTCAGTATGAGTTGATCCCCAAGAGGAAGAAGTGACTTTTGAGATGTCTGGGCCAAATCCGTATTGCTTAAAGGCAGTGTATTAAGCAATTTTTTTTTTTTGGTCACAATTTCAAACAGTTCCCAGATGTCCTAATCGAAGGTCTTCAACAGTCTTCTGTCAAAACACACAAAGGAAATCAAATTGCAGAACACTTGAAATTCCCTTTAGTGGAAATTGCTCCGCCTTTGTGTGTGTTCTGGTACAGTGCAAATGCAAATGACGGTTGGACAACCGGGGTCGGAACGGCGGTGTTGCGGGAAGCGAAGCTGGGTGATGTTCGACTCTTGTAGTTAACCCCCCACACCCCCCAAAAAATCCTCATCCAGATTGTGAATGAATGGTGGTTCGCATTAACCATCTCCTCCTGTGCCCCTAAAGTGAGCAACCGTGAAGATTTTCAAACAGTGAGGGAGGAATCATTTCATTACCAAGCTGTGGAATCGTGACGTCACAATACAGCATAATTCCTCATATCTGTCACAGATTCCTTTTCAGAAATAGATCAAAGATTCTCTTTGTTCTTCAAATGCACAATTGATGGGCGGGCGGGCGGGCGCTCCCGAGACCCGACAAAAGTCCCTTTTCCATCCAGCGTCCCTTTGCACTGATCGAGGCGGCATGAGTGAATACCTTTTGTCCATATGGTGCAATTCAGTTGGCGTTAGTCATGAGTTAGTCAGCTGCCTGCTATGAAGGGCGGCAGATGACGCAAACGTCACACTGTTGGCAGACTCCTCGTGACGCGTGTGACGGACGCCCCTCCCGTCCGTCATTTCCATCCTTTCTTTCGATCATTCATGCAAGGTGGTATTTTAAGGCCTTATCACATTCGCTATCGCCGATAACGCTGGCTAACACAAATGTTTGTTTGTTGTTTGAGTGCCGAAGAGATTGAATGCTTCCTGGGTTATTTTGGGCTGCTGAATCCAAAAATGACAGACTGATATTTCTTTACTGCTAATATTGCTTACTTTTCTGAATTTTTGCCTGATTTATTTATTTTTTACATGCCATGTGATTTACGTATTGAAGGCTCCCCGTGATCACAATTGCCGTCTTTCATGATATTCCATCAAAACTGAACGAATACTGAAAAGGCACATGCGGCCTTATGAAAGTCGGAGCATTGCACTGTCACAACTTGCATATTATATTATTCGTGCTTTTTTTCCCCTTTTTTTCGATCTCACTAACTAGACCCAATTTAGAAAAATGAATGTCATTGGCACTGCGATTTACCCAGCACCAAATAAACTACCACTGTCACTGCGTAGCATCTAAACTTGAAATAAATGCCAATCAATGTTGTCTGCTCTTCATGTTCTTACATGTCTTGTGTGACAATCAGGAGACCAATCGCCGTTCCAAGACAGGGAGGAGAGAAGACAAAAAATAACTAGCCTTAGGCTACGCGTGCTTCAACATCCTGGCGTACAAATGCTCCAAATGATCTAAGTCAAGCAGGTTATTTGGTTGAAAGATGAGTGAGCAACTCATCGGGACAGCAAAGCTGCTATGTTGACACGCTAACTGTACAGGTGGCTTCAGTTGAAATACCATAAATCCTTTCCACTCATTTTGTTTTAAACGGGGGTTTCATGAAGAAAAATAACTATTATATGAAAGCATCATAAAACAGAATGTCAACAAGCTGGTTTTAACGAGTGCAGATTATTGTATGTAGGTACTGTAGTATTCGTGTGTTGGATGTGTGCCTTTAAGGGGTGTGGCCCAGTGAAGTGACATCAGGAGCCAGAGGCGGGTTGGCTGGTTTGTGGGCATGTGAACATCTTTGGTCAGCGTCCTGGAAAAAAAAGCACAAGATGTTCACAGATTTGATGTCCTGCGCAGCGACTCGTTCTTCAATTTTTCATGCGATTTGCAGTTTCTTCCGCTGGCCATTTGGCCAGCGTGCTAGCTCCTTTTATGTTTTTGCTTCTCATTTAATTTAATCATATCACACGAACCAGTTATCTACGAACTGTCAATGGTAATTTACGAGCTGGATGAATTGCTTCCCGTTTAGCATTCTGAAGCTAATGAGCAAAAACTTGGATTTGATTTTTTTTGTCAAGGCTTACCCGGTGACCAAGCAACCGGTCATGCCATCGAATCCCACACGATGGTTTGTCGTCAACAGGATCCTCTCACGCAAAGCGTGAATGCTCGTGAAACAATATATTGCCTTACATAACAGTGGGAACATGAAACTAGCGCGTGCGTGTGATTAGCAGGGTGTGTCTGCTCATTCTCGTAGCTTCTCTCGTGAGCGGCTCCAAATATGCAAGCCTTTATGTCGCATGTTTTGCTTGGGGGGGGGGGAAGTTGTCCCGAGCCTCTGGCACTTTACCACTCGTGTCAGCAGACGTGCAACAATTATTTGTTTAATCGACAATTAATTGATTTTCAAATTAATCGGCAACTATTTGGGTCATTCATTAATCGTTTACATATCTCGCTAAAGTATCCCTAAAAAAAGTTTCTAAACTAGCCTCACAGTTAATTAGATAAAAGATAAAAAAGTATCTTCGCCATCAAACAAGCACCATCAGCACTCTCATAACGCTCGTCGCGGTTTGCCACAGCCACTTGCGTAACTGTTATTGTCTAGCATGTGCGATTTTGAAAGGCGGCCATCGAGTGCTGCCGATTTAAAAGCAACTTTTTATTGCCTGTTCCTGTGGGTCTGTGGTGCCTGTCAGGAAGCGCGCGCCATTGTTGCGCTTACAGCTGGAACGCCAAATTCTCGGACGTCCCCCGCACGTGGTGAAATAGCAAGAACTTTATTTACTGCTTGGCACCCCAAACTGCCTGTTGACATTCAGCTTGATTGTAACGAGCCAAGCTGTGGTGACGAGGCAAATGTTTCAAATAGTTTTCACACATATTGTGGCAAAATTTGCTGATTGCAGCTGTTTGCTAAGCGTGGATCAGATAATCAAATGACAATCAAACAAAACCCATTTTGAATGCAGTTGACTTAAAATGCTCCGCAATCCTGACGTTGAACACACATTTGGCTCTCCATGCTAAGCTGTGCGTGATGGGTTTATCCGTGTGGTGTGCAACAACTGAAATGTACTGCAGACTGGTCAGTTGAATTTCCCTTGAGGGGTTTTAATGTGTAATGTAATGCAGGACTCCCGCGTGCTCAAACAGCGACACAGGAAAAAGACGGCAGTTTGAAAGGGGGCTACGACTGCACCTTTGGTTGGCGAAACTGCAAATTGACTTTTTTTTTTTTTTTTTTGTCCCCAAGAACATCCGTGACGAACCAGTAGGCCGTCTTTGCCAAATCGATCGAATGCTTCCTTCCGCCCGTCAGGATTTGACCCTTTTGGAATTTTACATCTCCGGTGGGAGATTTCACTGACAGAAAGCCTTGATGCTTTTTTTTTTCCCCTCTCTGCACACCCTTTAATGTCATCACAAGCCCTTTTCAAGTGAATGGCTATGTATACGAGGAAATATTCTGCGAAAGCAAAGTTTGCTGCTTCCTGCAGGGACCGCACTGCAGGGACCATTGTCAAGCTTGACGCAAAATGGCTCTTGTAAGATCAATCATGTTCTTTAAGTATGAGCAACCCGGGCGTGACTCGTCGGTGATGAGTGAGCCAACCTTGCTCTATTGTTTCAAATTGTAGCCTCTCGTCAGTGTTCCCCACTGCCTTGTAAAACCACTGGTTATGTTCCAGAACCCAATGGAATGCCTTTTTTTTCCCTCTCTCCCCATTCTATTTTTTTTTTCTTATACAATGAAGTTTAACCACGCTATGCCGATCGTGAATTAAATTGGGTAAACAATGGGCTGTTTGTTTGTGACTTTGGGCTCCTCCTATCAGGGGGTTGGCAGAGCGAGTTACTCTCGGGATTTGTTGGCCACAGTATGCACACCGGATGTCCTTGCTGACACCACCCAACCATTTATTCAGGATCAGTGACAGCAGTTAGCTAAACTGCGCTACGGTTTAACATCATTTTGCCCTTCGCGTGGGCAAGACTAGCCACTTAGTATGTATGAAGTTATTGTAATTAGGACTTGACACACATGCGGAGCTATCCTTGCAGTCAACATAGATTGCGAAACTATCGCAACAAAAAAAAAAAAATGGTCTCTCAACATCCAGAACTATTAACACTGTTTGCTAATCAGCCGTCACATTTTTTTTCACTAAAGTAGTAACCTAACCCTTGCGCCAGTAGTTTATATGGTTTAAAAAGATATCTTCCAAAAAATGTTTCAGCGCAAAGCTGTCACAACAAAAAATGTTCAACAAACATTCATAGCACTATTTTGCCAAACTAATCGTAGCAAGATGTGTTCATGCTAAATTCGCCTAATAGCTAATATCGTTTCATGAATCATCCAAGTAGTTGAGAGTTGGCTACGCTGTCGTGAAAATCGCTCAATTTGCTAAATTGTTCAGGAAACCTGGCTAACAGTAAAAAAAAAAAAAAAAAAAAAAGACGGCGCAGCAAAAATCTTGACTAAATGTGTGTAAAAGTTGCCGGTTGGCCTAAATGTCATCACAAAAGAGCGAGCCCAACAGTTAAACTGGTTTGCTTTGATGGATTAAAAATAAGGTTCTCGCAACATATGTAATAGCGGATTGCGCGACACAATCAAGATCGTTTGCCAAGATGTCGCACCCAAAAATGACTTGGATACTCCTTGACATAGTTATGTAAGCTACCATTATCGAAAAAACACACA